AGCCAAGCACAGTCACTCCAAATTTTAAATGGCCATGAGAACCCCAAAGGCTCTAAGTCTCAAATGGGCTGTTCCTTGGGACACTCACAGCTTTTGTATGGTCTCAGATGTGCCCTGGGTAAGAGGACAGTTAAGGCAAGGTTCAGTAAATGTACACGGAGCCCAGAGAAGAGCCCTTGAAAGGGAGTGGCCCCTCTTGGAGACTGCAGTGAGAGACGTGTACACGGGGAAACCTTCTGAAGGCAGGTCTCCGGGGAAAAGAGGAAAGAGCAGTTTAGAGATGAAAGGCTCCATCCCCCAAAATCTGCGAAGCTGGCTGTGGGCAGGGGGAACTGACGTGATCTAAAATGCCTCAAAAGGCAAGCAGGAACCAAGTGGTTGTTGGGTGAGAGAAGACCAGACTAGTTAGGAGCCGGGAAAGAACTGAGGAGCAGGAAAAAGCCCTGGCCGAAATTTCGGGTAGGGACTATCTTGTTTGCTAAGGTATCCCTCAAACTAGCATAGTGCTGGCACGAGATTGGCGTTCAGCAAATTGCTGACTGCTGGAGGAAGGATTCGGCGGGTCTGAGTTCAGGCTAATCGCGGACTCACGAAACCTACACAGGTCCACCTAATCGAAGAAAAAGCCCGGCATGCCCCGGAAGCCGCGGCGCGTGAAGACCCCGCCCTCCGCTCCGCCCCACGCACGCCGGAGGTCTGCACCCGGGTGCGCTGGCGGCGCCCACCGTTTACGACGGGCCGGAAAGTAGCGGCCGCAGCCAGTGCCGGGCCTGGTCGGGCCGAGCCGGGCCAGTATGGGGGTAAGGCGAGGGCGGACTGCCGCCGGGACAGGGACGGGAAGGTGGCGGGAGCTTGTGCCAGGAGGGAATGAGAGAAGTGGGCCCGCGCTGAGAAGGAGCGGGGAGGCTCGTACCGGGAGGGGAGGGACTGGGGCTAGATAGGGTGGCGCAGGCGCCGTTGTTGCAATTGCGGTGGCCCTCCCTCACAGAAAATTGCGCTGCAGCTCAAAGCCACGCTGGAGAATGTCACCAACCTCCGGCCCTTGGGCGAGGACTTCCGGTGGTACCTGAAGGTACAGCTTGATGGGAGGGGCCTTGGCGGGAGAAGGGAGGAGCATCGTGGAGGCTGTAGGCGCGGTGAGGTTCCGGGCCCCGGAGCGACTCCGGAAGGGGGCGGGGCGCCACAGGCCCATCCCCAGGATAGTTTTCCAGTCCCGAAGTGCCGGTCCAACGGGAGCTTTGTGTCCAGCAAGATCAGAAATATGTAGCCATTAAATGTTCTTTTCCTGGATAGAATTTTGTTCGCTTTTTAAAATGTATTGGTTAATTCTTAATTGGTAGTCTTTTGGAGTTCCTTTTGTAATTTTCTCTCCGTGAAATATTTCATGTTGTGTAAACACCGAAAGACTACCTGAAGAGGGCTTGGGATTATTTAGTAAGGAGGAGAATTTCGCTGTTTTATTCGTTGATTAGGCTTTATCGTGAAAGCGTTTTAATTTTGTGCGTGGCTTCCCCCTTCCTTCTCTACCCTATACTGGTGAATCTGGTACTCTGGTGACTGGGTCTACAGAGGCCCCCCTCTTACCTGAGCAGTTTGAGGTCCTTCACTCTTCCAGATCTCAGAACTTCTGCTTTATTTCCCTCGTTGTCTAAATCCCAGCATCCTTCAGAACCTGGCAAAAGCTCTGTCTCTTTCAGGAAGCTTTGTTGGCACCTTTATTACCAAATACTTTGAAGCCCGAGTACCAGAGCTTATTTGAGGAATTGATGCCCTCTGCTTCAAAAAGCACACAGTCTAGTTAAGGAGACAGAGAAATAGAGTAACGACAGAGTGATGAGTACTTTTACTAGGAACCTACAAGGCCTGTGAGAACACAGGGAAAGCTCCAGACCTAACGAGGGGATGGGGGTGAGGGCTGTTGAAGCCATTTCTGTACTATATATTAGCCTTGAATTTCCAGCTAGACTGGGTGCTTCTAGGAGGGGTGCATGCCAGCACAAAAAACACTTGACCTGTTCTTTGCCCGGAGAGAAATTCAGTTACATCCTTGGTGGGGCCGGTTGTAAGGATGAGGTGAGACTGTGGACAAGAGGGTAGGTTGAACGTGTCCACCTCTCACTGTTCTTACCCTTCCTTTAGTGTCTGCCCAGCTGAACCAGCTATTTTACTGATCTTCTTTTTCCTCCCCCAAGATGAAATGTGGCAACTGTGGTGAGATTTCAGAGAAGTGGCAATATATTCGGCTGATGGTAACTACTCCCCCTACCACCATACCCAAACACAAACACACATATGCCTCTGGGCAGGGATTTAGGGAGAGAACCTGTGGCCCTAATCTCACAGGTCTTTGCACTCTACTTTCTGTAGTTTGGGAGGGCAGGCACTAGTGTGATCAACACTGGGAAGACCAGGCTTCTTTGGGATGTGAGGCAGAGCTCAAAACTGAAAAGAGTCTTTTTCTCAGTCTCAAAAAGCCTCCCCAGGATTCTTGTTGTAGCAGGTGCAGGTGGCTCTCCCTCTCTCGATCTTGGTCTCTTTAGCTAATAAGTGGTAGGACTGGGTCTCTTTGAGACCTTTACAACTAATTGATGTTTGACTAGAGGTTCTTTTTACCCTCGCCAGGACAGTGTGGCACTGAAGGGAGGTCGTGGCAGCGCCTCCATGGTCCAGAAGTGCAAGCTGTGTGCAAGGGAAAACTCCATCGGTAGGTCAGGTTGTGAATCCTGAGCTTCCCCAACCAGGCCCATATCTTCCTGGTACCAGACCAAAGGCAAGCTCATGTTACTGTGGGTGGACCCAGGCCTGAGGTGCCCAAGTGATTGCAGCAGACTCTTTTTCCCAGAGCCACATCTGGGCACCTGGACAGGGCCAGGGTATGGACTCGTCAACTTTGTCTTCTCTTATGTTTCAGAGATTTTGAGCAGCACCATCAAATCTTACAATGTAAGTTTCCTGCTGTGGTGGTAGGTGTGGTGGGATTAAATCTAAGCTGGAAGCTAAGAGGCCTGGGTTCTAGAGTTCTGTCTGTACCAGAGTGACTTGCCATGGGACATTCATTCATATACTTGTTCATTCATTCAGTCTGTCATGGTATTAGTCGTCTATTCACAATATACTGGCTGAGTGCTTGGTAGGAAAGAGATTCATGAACAGGCTATTACAGTGTTTTCTTTTTTCTTTTTAATTTTTTTTTTTAACGTTTATTTATTTTTTTGGGACAGAGAGAGACAGAGCATGAACGGGGGAGGGGCAGAGAGAGAGGGAGACACAGAATCAGAAACAGGCTCCAGGCTCTGAGCCATCAGCCCAGAGCCCGACGCGGGGCTCGAACTCACGGACCGCGAGATCGTGACCTGGCTGAAGTCGGCCGCTTAACCGACTGCGCCACCCAGGCGCCCCGTACAGTGTTTTCTTTATAAGCACTGGGCTGTGGATCTCAGTGTACATCTGACGCAACCTGGCCACTCAGTTTCCATCATTGAGAGTACTTTGTCTACTCTGGGGGACTAGTGAGCCTTCTCTGAAACCATGGGTGGGACAGTCCTTTGGTGCATCCCATCCTTGATATTGACGTTATAACTAGTTATGCATTACTGTGTTAACAAAGTAGTCTAAAGGGGAGGGAGGGAGTGTGTGCTTTGGGTCTCTGTTTAAAAGGTAGTTACTTGTATTCATCTATCCCTTATTTAGTACTTAAAAAAAATTTTTTTAATGTTTATTTTTGAGAGAGACCATGCGTGGGGGAGGGGTAGAGAGAGGGAGGAAGACACATAATCTGAAGCAGGCTCCAAGACTCCCAAGCTGTCAGCACAGAGCCCAAGGTGGGGCTCAAACTCATGAACCATGAGATCATGACCTGAGCCAAAGTCAGATGCTTGACAGGCTGAGCTACCCAGGTGCCCCTCCCTTGTTTAATATTTTTGAAACATGTCTGATTTTTGCCAAATTCTCAGCTTTTTCCTGAAGTTTAAGGGAGAAGTCATGAGGATTTGCTTCCAAGTAATTGATAATATAGTGGAAGAGACAGATTAACAAACAAAAACAAACCAGAGCCAACAGAGTGTCTCATCAGTGCTAGGCACATGGTTAATGTATAGATTTTATAGTGAATGACACAATGTGATTGAATGTGTGGGTGTGGTGCCTGGCATCTCTGAGCCCGTGGGTGAGGTAGGCATGAGTTTCCTCACTAACCCACCCCTCTCAGGGTGCCACCTTCGTGTGAAAATTCCATTTCAAAGGCTTTTTTTTTTTTTTATAGTTTATTTATTTTGAAAGAGAGAACATGAACAGGGGAGGGGCAGAGAGAGGGAGAAGGAGAGAGAATCCCAAGCAGGCTCTGCACTGTCAGTGCAGAGCCCAATGAGGGGCTTGAACTCACAAACTGAGATCATGACCTGAGCTGAAATCAAAAGTCAGACACTTAACTGTGTCACCCGGGCACCCCTCCAAGCCTCCTGTCTCACAGCATGGCAGATGGTTAGCAAAAGGCTGCAGTTAAGTGTACTGGGCCATTTGGAAGATCTGGAGACTTTATAGCTTAACATTCTTGTTCATATTTTTTGAGAATTTTATCATTTATTGAGCATAGTCAGGGACTATAGCTGGGCACTTTACACATAGTTCAGATTCTCACAACAAACCTGCGGTGGTTTCTTCAGCCCAGTCTGACCATCTTAGATGGGAAGAGAGGCAGAAGGCAGAGCTCTGTCTGAGCTCATATCCAGGTAGGCTGACTCTAGAACCCACAGTGTTTCTTCTACAGCATCCGTGTACAAGAAGGTCTCATGGGGAGCAGGTGACCAGTGCCGACTTCTTCCGAAAGGGAATGGGTTGCTCCTGAGTCCCATTCTGGGCTCACAAGGGCAGTTGGGCCCACTTGGCAGGAAGAGCAGGGGCAGTGGGATCATCCTAAGGGCCCAGTTGGGCCTGCCCCCTCAACACACTTCCTTTCTAGGCTGAAGACAATGAGAAGTTCAAGACAATTGTAGAGTTTGAGTGTCGGGGCCTTGAACCAGTTGATTTCCAGCCTCAGGTACGTGTATCTTCCCAGGGAACCTGTATCTTTGGGGAGGGCATATAGAAAGCGACAACAGAACTCTGCTTCATGCAGAGACCATGGACTAGGACTTCCTTCTCAGAATAATAATTGTTATTTATTAAGTGCCTACCATATGATGGGCACGTTCTGGTCACTTTTACGTGTTACTTCGTTTAATCCTCACAGTGACCTTGTGAAGTTATTCACCCTATCTTTCAGACAAGGAAAGAATTTCAGATTTTGCAACTTGCCCAGGGTGACAGAGTTCATAAACACTGGTACTGTTATTTGAACCCAGGTCTGTCAGACTCCAGAGCCAGTGCTTATCCCACTTTAGTTGTGCAGCATTTTGACCTCACAACAAATCTGTGAGGCAGGGAGATGAGACAGTCTTGTCATCCCCATTTCATAAACAGTATGACTCAGGTCCAGATAGGGGAGTGACGTGCCTAGGATCTCAGAAAACTGGGTAATGGAAAGGTTTACCCCACACCTCCTGCCTCTGGTCCAAGGCTCTAGTTTGGAGGAACTACTATACTCCTGGGGCAGCTGCCAGGCCCTGGAAGTGCAGTAGTTATTCTAGAGCAGGTGCCCCCACTGCATCTCTGTCCTCACATGCCAGACTGGTGCCTCCTTTCCCCAGACTAACAGCTGCCGTCCTGTCACCTACAGGCTGGGTTTGCTGCCGAGGGCGTGGAATCGGGGACGGTCTTCAGTGATATTAATCTTCAGGAGAAGGTACAGGACTTAGGGGGTCTTGCAGGGTGCTGGAGGGTACCTGGTGGGAATTACCCTTCTAGTGAACAAAGATCATCAATACAAAGCTGACTCCACGTTTTTTTTGCTGATGATTTTGGTGTTCAAAGTGGCCCCAAGTGTAGTACTAAAGTGCTGTCTAGTGTTCCACAAGCAAGAAGTCTGGGGTGAAAATGCATGGAGAAAATGCATGTTAGATCAGCTTTGTTTAGGCAGGAGTAATAGTGCTGTCAGCTAGGAGTTCAATATTAATGAATCAACTATATATATTAAATAAGGTGTTTTTTGTTGTTTTTGTTTTTTTTTAACAAAAACTTACCCAAAACAAGGTTATATATTGATTGAAGAAAATGTGATCAGATGCTTCTGAGAACCTAACCTTATATTTTCCCTGGGAATAGTGGTTCACTGTTTGCTAATTCAGTGTTTGTAGTGATTATGTAGATTGTAACTACCATGAATAACAAGAATCAACTGTATTACTGGCCACATTACTGTCTTACATAGGCCTTGTGGTCAGGCTTCAAAAGAACAGAAACTTCAGTTTGCATAGCACCTAATAACAACAGTAACTGAAATTTACTGAGCTCTTATATGCACCCAGTACTATGCTGAATACTTTTACATGTGTTACCTCATTTGATTCTTTCAAGATGGAGGTCTGCTACTGTCCCCCCGCCACCCCCCCTCCCCCTTTTTAATAGAACTGAGACTCAGAGAAGTTAAGTGACTTGCCCAAAACGGAGTCTGGCTCTGTTCTGGGTCATACATGTTTGAAGTCCCAGTTCGTGACCACTGTGCACACTGTCCCATCTCGTGAGGCTAATAACGGCCATTTTCCCCCACAGGACTGGACTGACTATGACGAAAAAGCTCAGGAATCTGTGGGAATCTACGAGGTCACCCACCAGTTTGTGAAGTGCTGAACCCTCTTCCTGCACACTTGCCTCAAAGAACTGAGAAGGGACAATGTGCCCCAAGCAGCAGAGCCCACTGAGGCTAATCCCCTCATCCCCTGTCTGCTGGAAGCTGTCTGAGCCCTCACAGCCTGCATGCTGGGCTCTGCCACAGCTTCCCAAGCATCACCAATAAAGCCGCTGTTTGTGCTACACTGGTGCATGAAGACAGAGTCAGGTAACAGCCACTCCCTCCACAAATGACAATTCATGTTGGGAGTCTCTGATTGTTTCCTGGCACATTCCCACAGTACAGAATCCATTCTGTACTTCTCAGGGCTCTCCAGCTCTTGGGGAGGGGGCAGGTCAACCCGGAGGACCTACGTCCTGAACCAAAACAGTGCACTGACCACCTTGCTCTCAGGTAAACCCAGGCATCTCTAGCTGGTGTCACTTCATGTTCCAGGGCTGGTAGGGACTTTGGAGTCAACAGTCCAGTCCTGGCATGAATCTGCTCTGTAAAATTCCTGCCAGACAGTCATCAGGTCTGTGCCCACTTGCTGTGATGGGGCAATCCTCTCCCATCAGGGGAGTCAGTATGAAAGTTCTTCTTTCTGCTAAGTCAGCCTCTGTGCTCCCTACAGCTCCTGCTGGTCCTGGGTTGTCACTGTGTGGTCATGCACCCCTGTGGAGGTCTTAAGATCCCCCTGCAGAGTAGAAAGAGGAGTTCAGTGCACAGTAAGGTCAGGAGGACATGCTCGTGCCTTCACACTGGTAAATCCACCATCTGGAAAACCTGCTGTGAGACCTTATTGCTCTAGTGTTCTGCTGGAACCAGGAATTCTTTGCAATAAAAATTATGCAATTTCTGAGAGGCCCATAGGGGAAGAGCCTGCCCACTTCCAGACCGGTTGTGGGGGGCACTACCTCAGATTTCAGGCAAAGCTGGCTGTATCCAAGGGTGGTGAAGAGATTCCTACCTTGTCCATTCTCTAGTCTGGCACGTACATCATGTTTCCTCCAGGTTCTGTGTTCCTGGCCCCTGGACCTCTTTTTTTGTACCTGATAAAGCAGGGCTTCTTTGGCCCTCCCTCAGCAGGTCTATGAAGTGTGTCACCCACAGGGTCCAAGTCCACTGCCTGGCATGGAAGAAGCCTGAGTAAGCAGCCTTTCTAGGTTTTGGCCTCTGTAATATCCAGTGTGTGTTTGCTCATAAAAAAAACACTAAAAGGATCTCAAGGTTTTCTTTATATTTTAGATTATTTTCTCACTTCTCAGGGAGGTAGAAGAAACCAAATGATCACTAACAGATTAAAGGAAAAATAGATTATGCCAACAGATGCAGAAAAAATATTCAGTAAAATTTAACACTGATTCAACAGAAACAACAAACCATAGAAACTCTTAGACCACAAGTAGAAAGGAACTACCCTCATCTCACAAAGGAGATCTACAGAAAACCTAGAGCAAAGGAAATGTGTGAAGTATTCCATGCAAGGTCATGGTAAGATGAGGATCCCCTTGATCACTGCTACTCTTCCTTGTGCTTGAGGTCCCACAGCAAAAAGAAAATAAGGGTAAGTCTCGAAAAGGAAGAAACAACTCATTTTCACAGGTTGGATTTTCTAAGTGGAAAATCACAAAAGCATGAACAGGTACTGGAATTATGATCAATACCCAAAAACCAAATGCATTTCAGTATGATGGCAATATGCAAAATCTAATTCAAGAAAAAAGTGCCATTTATAATAGTAACAACAAAAAATACCCCCAAAAGTAAGTAGGAACTAAATCTATCAAAAATGTTCATGACCTTATTGGACGAAATTATTAAACTTTGCTGAAAGGTGCTAAAGCCTAAATAGAGACCTATGCTATTGTTGATTGATAGGAAAACTTGAAATTATAAAGATCCTTCTCAACAAATGTATCTATAAAGTTCTTGTTGTAATCTCAACTTTTTTAACAGAATGTAAATTCTGAAATCCATGATATGACGCAGGTGGGATACTCCCTCTACCAGATACCATGATGTAGTTATAAAGCAATGGCAGTTAGCCTCCGTGATACAGTATTTGTATATTGTGATGTACAAATAGACCAGTGGAACAGTAGACAGACCCCTGCATGTATGAAAACTGCATGGTTTAAGACAGGTGGTATTGCCAGTTTGGAAATTATTAACTTGCCAATAAGTGGTGCTGGGGCAATTGTTTACATCTGCCCATTAAATGAAACTGGGACGTTATTTCACTGGCATATAAGTCTATTCCAAGGTTAGTTCTCTTGGGTGCTTTGATACAGCATTATGCTGGGTAGAAGAAGAATCCTGGGCTCAGTGTCTTCCTTACTGTAAACCCTGGGGAAGTACATTTCCTCTCAGGACCCCATTTTCTCCATCTAAAAGAAAAGGGCACTTTGACCTCTGACATTCTGTTGCTCAATAAGATTAGTCAAAATGGTGGCAGCATGTCTGAGGCCTGCCCCTCATCACCACCAGGAAAGTTAGTTCCTGGCCTCACACTCCAGGACTGTGGTCTCCTGTCCAGGTAGTGGAAGTTAAAGCAGCCAGATGTGGGGACAAGTGGAAGATGAGACCATTTGAGGCCTAAGTTCCCTACCATCTTAATTTGGACATTCTGCGAAGGTCCTCAGTATGCTCTTACATGATCCCTGAACAGCTGTTTAAAAGGTACCATCTTTATCCAGTAGCATTTTTTTAAACTAGGCATGTGTGTGTAAACACTTGGCTTTTTGTGAATAGCAATGAGATGAAGGTTGGGTAACATTAGGCTGCATCCTCGTGTACAACAGTCATTTCTGTTGTTTCCCAGAAAGGGCAAAGTCACCCAGAATCTCTGCCTGGCTAGGCAGCCTGAGTGATCATCTCACAGTGCTGTCCCCATTCCTGTGTGAGCCAAGTTCCCTTGGACTGAGCCCTTTCCCTCATTAGCCATTAGAGCTCCAGAGAAGGCTGCATACCTGGCTGGCCTCCAAAGCTCAGGACCCACAACACTGGACATCTTCACTCTCCTGACACTTAACCATGCATCTGAATTTTCATTCGGCCATCTTCCCTGACGGTTTCTGCTGCAGCAAGCTCTAGAGGGAGAAAGATGAATCAGACCCACGCTGTCTTGTTCGAGAGCCAAGTAACTAAGCCACTAATTAAAATAGTCACTGCCAAACATACATATGCATTGGATCACTGGGATTACTTGAAAAGGGTACATTTCCTGGCCCCACGTCATTCCCACTGAATTAGAATCTCTGGGCTAAAACCTGAGATGAATCTGATGTTTCTAGATCACCAGAATCACTAGAAGAGATTTCAGAGCAGGATGTGCTCTGGGCTGCTGCAGGGACTAAATGAGATAACAAAGGCAACATGTTCAGTGCAATGTCGGGGGCACCACACACAGGAAGAAATAGAGGCAGTTCCAATTTTGTTAGAAATGCAGACAGTCTAGGACACCTGGGTGGCTCAGTCGGTTAAGTGTCTGGACTCTTGATTTCAGCTCAGGTCGTGATCTCACAGTTTGTGACACTGCGCCCCTTGTTGGGCTTTGTGCTGACAGCACAGAGCCTGCTTGGGATTCTCTCTCTCTGCCCCTCCCCTGCTCTCACACGCGCGCATGCTCTTTCAATAAGTAAATAAACGATAAATAAATGCTGACAGTCTGGGCTGTTCTCTAATGACTAAGTACCCACATGGAGCTGCTCCCTAAACTGGGAAACAGCAGTAGATAGCCAACCTTGCCCTAGTTCCCCAAGTACTGTACTGCTGCTACAGCTCCCTCTTCTGAGCCTATCGCTTCCTGCTTAGAAAGAATTGGTTTGGACTGGAAAGACACAATCTAACAAGACAAGACAAACACCAGCTGTTGCTTATAAAAGCCAATTACTTAGATTTATAGCAGACATGGGCTGAGTTACAGGTGAGAAAAGACCTGGCTTTGGGTTAATCATAATAAGCTCACCCTATGACAACTGCAAATTCACTGTGAATTAAAAGTGATCACAGGCTAGATCAAAAGAAATAATGGCAAGAAATAGGATGAGAGCAGGCCCTCTCTCAGCCCCTGATTGGTTAGCCCATGCTGTGGTGAACTGTCTCATTTGGTGCTCTGCTCTTTAATGCAATTACAAACAAAACTCAGTAGGCCTGGAGATCATTCCTGTGAGGTATAGTGTGAGAACAGGAGAGGTTTCTCTAGGAGAAAACATTAGGAAGGGGGTTGGGGAGAAGGGGCAGAGGTGATCAGCCTCTACAGAGCTGAAGGACTGACATATGGAAAAGTGCAAAGACAAATTATACTCCATAGGGGCAAACTAGCACCAAGTGTAGAGTTTCAGGGGGATTTCAGTTCAATACAAAGGAGACTCTCCTAATGTCTGTCCAGAATTGGAATGTGATACATTTTACTTCATGAGCTCCCAATCCCTGGAGGCTTTCAAGAAAAGACCATGAGGATTGAGGCCTCTAACTTAACACAAGACCAGATTTATCGCATCAGAATTTCTATTTTGATGCATCCAGGCAGGAATTACTGGGCTAGACAATACTAGGAATTTTACAACCTTAAGAATCACTACTACAGACAAATATATGGAGTTGAACTGTCAACTGTCAAGGCTAGTCGGTGAGAAAACCAAAAACTTGTTTCTCTTCTGAAATATCCTAATAACAAAGTTTTAACAATAACTGAAGAGGAAAATGAATTTGCAGCCAATGTAATTCAATGAGCTAGCTCTCCTGAAAAACCTGGGCTTTCGCTGGGTTGTTGCCACTCTTCTGATTTGCTTGGAGTTAGTATGGAGAGGCTGCTTCAGTACCTTCGGCATACTGAACTGTAAGCACTGTTGTCCACTCTCTCTTGCCCAGCTCAGAACCTCTACCTACAGTGACCATCTTGTTGTTCCACGGACTACAAAGGCTCAGATGCCACGCACTGTGTTGAACACGGGGATGATGATACAGCCCTCAAGACGCTTGCTGGGACAGATGAACGGACAATCACAGCACGGGGCTTCAGGCGGATATTCTGTCAGTCAGTTCCCAAATATTTAACCAGCCCTGGGCCCCTCCAGTTGCCCACAGCCTCGCAATGGAGACAATTGCAGAAACTATAAAGTGCTGTGGGAAAGGTTAAATTGTCAGGACGTTTTGGGCATACTCAGGAGCACTAGTTCAGTCTCAGGATAGGGTGAGGGGAGGTTTCCTACAGGAAGTGAAATCTCGCTGAAATTTCAAAGACGAGCAGAAGATGGCCAAAAGGGTGGGGAGGGGGTTATGTTCCAAGCAGAGGCAATGGCAAATAGCATGGCATCCCTGAGGATGTGCAAGCTGTTAAGATAGGTGAGGCTGAAAATATCAGTTGGGTCAGCCCCCTCAGGGACTCAACTGTCACATTAAGGGATATGGACTTCTTTGCAAGGTAGTGAAAAACCATTTTAGAATTTAAAGCAGGGATATTTCAAGCAGGCTTGAAACAGGGAAAAAAATCACTGGCTACAGTGAGGAGGAAGAATGGACTGGAGTGAATGAGTGAAGTCTAGAGTCAGGAGGGCCAGTCAGGAGTGAGGAAATAGATTCCACCTCTTGAAAGGAGAAGCTGCAAGGTTACCCTGCAAAGGTGTGGGTGCTAGGAGAGAACAGACATCTCCAGCAATAACCCACTATGTGTCAGGCCCTTTACTGGCTAAAACAGAAGTCAAAGCTAGGAGCAGCAGGAGAATGGAGAAAGGGACGACCCGCCACACCCTAACCTCCCTCACTTTCTCCACCCGCCACTGTCTCGTGTCCCCCTCCTCAAATTCTAGCCATTCTTTGTCATCGTGTCACATGAGGATAACTGGAGAGGTGTCGCTAGATTCGGAAAGCATGTTTGATGTGGTCTAACTTAAAACATAAGCTAGTAGGAATGACAATGCGATACCATTTCACACTCACCGCAATGACCACATGCAAAATAGACGGATGATAAGTGGTGGTGAGGATGTGGAGACATTGGAACCTTCATACTCTGCTGGTGGAAATGTAAAATGTGTCCAGTGGAAGACACCCTAGCAGTTCCCTAAATGACCAAACAGAGCTATTACATGACTCAGCAATTCCACTCCTACATCTATACCCAAGAGAAATGAAAACATGTCCACACAAAAACTTACACACAAATGTTCACAGAATTATTCTTAACAGCCGAAAAGTAGAACAACCCAAATAGCCATCAACTGGTGAATGAATAAAATGTGGTATATCCATATACTGAAATAGTATTCAGCAATACAAAGAAAATAAGCACTGATACATACTAGAACATGGGTAAACCGTGAAAACATTATGCTAAGTGAAAGAAGCCAATCACAAAAGGCCATACATACATCGTATAATTCAATTTATACGAAATGTCCAGAATACAAAAATTTAGAGAGACAAAGAGGATATTCGTGTTTGTCTAGGGTTTGTGGGTGGGGAGGGAGGAGTTGAGGGAAAAGGAGAGTGACTGATAACAGGTACAGCATTTATTGGGGGGATGAAAATATTCTAAAATTCATTGTAGTGATGGTTGTGCAACTGTGGATATGCTAAAATGGCTGAATGATACATTTTAAATAAGTGGAATATATAATGTGTGAAGTATGTCTCAATAAAGCTATAAAAACATAAACTACATGATATCCACAAAACTCACTCAGGAGGTCCAGGGGGAATCTCAAAGAAAAGCAAATAATCTCCAGAGAGGCTGGTATGGCTGTGAATCTGGAAATGAGCCACACTCATTCCAGAGTCATGAACAGAGAAAGCCACCTGGACAAAACTTGTTGACTTCCCAAAGCCTACTCCTCACACAGGAAATTCCACATGGGAGCGGCTTTAGGGTCAGGAAGAGCAGGGATTAATTTAACAAAGTTCATCATTCTCCTGAGTTTGGAGGTCAATTAGTTTCAGATGTTGAATGAAAGAATACAAGCATGAACCCAAGACCAGAAAGAAGGGTCGGGTAAGTTGTAAATAGGAATGCTGAACACTGTACTACCCAAGGGTCCATTCACCCTGAACATATGCATGAAACAGGCATCTCAGCCCTGCAAGTTCCAATCAAAGCTTCGGTCTTAAGAGCTTATGCTGTGGGGAACTCGCTATGCAAGTGACTGGAACCAACTCGCTTTGATAAGGAATGGAACAGCAGAGACCTCACAGCAGCAAGAGAATACAGATTTAGCTTCAACTATATGCCAGATGCTCTACCTCTATCATTACATCCAGTCCTCATTACATCCCCGTGGTATAGGAACTGTCCTCATTCTACGAAAAGAAACTCACACAGCAGACAGAATAACTCGCCTTTGGTCACATAGTGAGGACATGGTAGAACCAGGATACCAGGAGTTCCGGTATTTGGAAGGGGGC